TGAGTGGGCCCTTCCCCGCCAAAGGAAGTATGAGAGATTAAGGCTGGAAAAGTAGGCTGGGGTTGAATCATCTGTTAAAACCGGACACCAAAGCCTGAATTCTAACTGTGGGTGACACAAACCATGGGTGACATTTATGATCTATACATTTACTTAGATGTCTTGACCCCACCTCCAGAGATGTTTAAAGGCAGGGTTTCCCACAGTTTGTTCCTGCAGTGCTACTCCCTCGAGATTTTTATCTTTATTACTTCCATGTAAAAATCATTCCATATCATTTTGTAGAGATCCTCCTGCCTAGATCTCTCTGTGCGCCACGATCCATAATCCACAAAGGGCTCTGAACCCCCCCCTCCATTTTATATAGTAAAGAAGTAAACGTGCACCCCTTAAAGCATTCTTTTCATATATATGCACACAAACATAAAACCTAGGTATAGCAAAACTATCCTGGCAGCGAAGACTTTTGTATGAGAGATTATTTCTGTCTTAAGATGAGTTGAAAGCCAGGCATGGTAGTGCATGCCTGTAATCCTAGCACTTGGGAGGCCGAAGCAGGAGGATTGTTGTGAGTTTGAGACCAGCCTGGGCTATGAGATGAGCTCAAGGCCAGCCTGAACTGATTAGGGAGAACTTGTCTCAAAAGGAAAAAGAAGAGAGAGAGGAGAGAAGAGGAGAGGAGTTGAGTGTTTTTCTGGTCTGGTAATAATAAGGAACTCTTTGCAGAACTGGGATTGAACTCAGACCCTTGCGCTTGCCAGGGAAGCACTTATTCTACTGAGCCATCTCCCCGGCTTCATAAGGAACTCTTTGATACACACCCTAGGAATCTACTTGAGCCATCTATCATCTATGAGGGAAACACCTAGTTTTATGGGATTTGCACACACAGTGAATGAGAAGAAACCTACAGCTTCTGTCCAAAAGCTAGGTCGGTTCTTTCTCCAACACTTCCTTAACCTTGAGGACTGCAGCCCATGTTCCTGCACATGTTGACACACTGGTGGGGACCTGACACCTGGAGTGGAAAGGACAGCACTGCCCCGACAGCTCTTGGAGAGGGCCAGAAATTTGAAGTGTTGGGCAATTAATTACTAACCTAGTCAGCCCTATATATTTATATATTCCTGAAGATTAGCCAATCACAACTCAAGAATTTTTTTAAATGCATCTATACTGAACATTTACATAAATTTTTGGTTGTCCTCCCTTAAAAATCAATGTGACAACTATTTATAGACCATTGCATTGTACTTAGTATGAATAACCTAGACATAACTTAAGATATATGGAAAACGTTCAGTGGTTAAGCTGCAGATCTAGAGTTGGTGGGGGTGTGGGTGTCCTAAAATCACATCCTTTGAGTCTGGAGGACAGGGCCATCCTTCGAGATTGGGCAAGGAGATAGACCAGAAAAGAGCACTTCTTCCGATTCATGTAGCTAACAGGACTTGGGAATCTCGAACTTGCAACCCTGGGAACTTGAAGCCATGGGTTCTCCGAGGATTCAGTGACCGCAGGGTCCTCCAAAGCCAGCACTTTGTGTACTTATTTTATCCATCTACAAATCTGTAGGAACATTTAAAGACTGGCCCCAGAAGCACCTGCACACTATCCTCCCAGCTCCCCTGGGGTCACCTTCCTGCCACCTTCCACTTGCTCTGGACGCCAAGGAGCGCTGTCTCTGATGCCCACTTCTCCAGAAAGGGCAGCCTCCTCCACAACCTAAGAGGTCACACACAGCTGCTCAAGTACCTCCCCGCCCCACCATGTCCAGGACCAGCTGTCCCGGTGGTCTATTACAGCCACTGCTTTCTTGTCTGGGCTCTGGACACACGGCCCATGCTCTGATATTGCAAGCCCTTTACAGTGAGAGGCTGGTTATCTGTTAGGCGGATAACCTCACGGTCTCTTAGCAGAAGACTTTCTCCTGCAGGGCTGTGTGGCAAAATACTCGGAAATCATGGAAGATCTGGCTCCCACCTTCCGTGCTGGCAGCACCAAGGCACTGGCCCCAGCCTCCTTCTGAGACAGGGTCCTGCTAAGCTGCGGAAGAGGCGGGCCCTGCGCCCCGCTTCTCCCACAGCGTCTCTCTCTGGCTGTTTTTGGGGGGCCCCCTCCCCTTGACAGCTCCAGCCCAGCCAAGAGCCCCAGCGCTGGCTTCACCGGACGCGCCCCACAGGCTGCATCGCGTCGCAGCGAGGATGCGTGGACACCGCGGTCGTCCTTTCTAACTTGCTCAGGCACTGAGACCTCCCTGCGCGGAGCCGGGCGGGTGCTCCGCACACCGGCGCCCGGACGGGGGCGTGCGGGAGGGGAGCAGGCAGGAAGGCACCGCCGAGGCCCACCTGCAGCGGGGTGAAGGCCTCGCACCCGCGCGGCGCCCGGAGGCCTAAACCCGCCCCTTCCCTCCCACCCCCGCGCGATGTGACAGCGCTGGGGTCCAGAGGCCGAGCCCCTCCACGTCGCCCCCGACCAGCTCTGCGGCGAGGACCGCGGCGCCCTTCACGCACGTCGCGAGGCGTCAGCTGCCTCCGTCCTGGGGCCGCTCAGCCAGCCAGAGCGCGGGGCAAGGACCACGTCTGCCTGGCCCTGCAGGCCCCCCACCCCCACCCCCGCTCCGCGCCTCCGTCGCGACCCCAGCCCTGGCGCTGCCAGCAGGGCGGTGGGGACAAAGCCCGGCGTGGAGACCCGCCTGCGACCGGAGCGAGCTTGCGGAGCCGCAGTGCGGACACGAGATCGTGTTCGCACCCGCGCCCCGCGCCCCGCGCCCCGCGCCCCGCGCCCCGCGCCCCGCTCACCCGTGCGCATGCCCATGCCCAGCCCAGGCGCGTGTCGGTCAGTCGGTCTGTCTGTCCCGCGTCTCTCCAGAGCAGCGGCCGCGGGCAGGAGCTGGGCGGGGCGGGTGCGTCGGCCCGCGGGTGGGGGAGAAGCGGAGCAGCCTGGGAAGCGTAGTCCCCGCCCGGCCCAGCAGGGGTCCCCCTGCTCGAACCTGGGACCCGGGCGGGAGGAGGCGGAGGCTGCGCGCCGGGAGATGCGGCTGAGGACTGAGATGAAGGCAGGAGTAAGGCCAAGGACGCGGATGAGGACAGGGCAGGGCTCGGACAGAGATGAGCACAAGGATGCGCACAGGGACAAGGCAAGGCCAGGGCCGGGCTGCTCCATGACGCATCTGCGCCGTGAGGTGCTCAGCAAGGCGCGGTTCCGAGGTGGAGCTGAAGTTGTGGCGAGAAGGTGTCCGAGAAGCCACGCACACTTGGTGGTCAACAGGACGATGTAGCTTCTCTTGAGTCTTTGTGTCCTCATCTGTGACAGGTCTGCAGCTTCGAGAAGGGACACGTCAGGAGCAGAGGCGACGGGCTCAATTCCCAGTGCCAAAAAAGGAAAAGGAAAGAAAAGGAGGCCTTGTGGACGCTCCACCCTAGCCCCAAGGGCGGGGGCCGCAGGTCTCCACCCTGGCAGAGCGCGCTGCTGCAAGGCTGGTTGTGCCTGCACTGGGCAGGAGTTCCTATCCGCAGGGCTTGACATCACCAGGCCAGCTGGCCCGGTCCCCTGGTCTCTGAATGTGCAGGAAGGTGTCCTTTCTTCTTTCCCAAGGGAGAAAGTACTGTGTGCTCTGCCACACACAAGGGGTGGTGACCAGAACCAACCCCAGATTATGAACCAATGGGGGACAGCCATGTTTCCTTTCAGACGCCGGTTTCTTTTTAAGGTGAACGGTCACTGTGGTAATCTACTAAACTTAGATACTATAATGGAATTCTCTCTTTCTCTCTCTCTGTCTCTGTCTGTCTCTCTCTCTTTACCTTTTTGAGACAAGCCTTCATTATGTAGCTCAGGTTGGCCTTGAACTCAAGAAGCCCAGAAAGGCCTCAAACGCCTGGATTCCCCAGCGCTGGGATTACAGGCTCGCACCACCACACCTGGCAGAATCTCAATCTCTTTCTCTCTCTCTCTCTCTCTCTCTCTTTCTCTCTCTCTCTCTCTCTCTCGTTTTTATGTATTTGGAACAGGGTCTCACTGCGCAGCTCAGACTTGTAGAGAATCTCCTGTTTTCATTTTCCCTGGCAGTGGGATTACAGGCTTGCACCACCACAATTAATTGAATTGGGTGGGTGGCTCAGCCCGCCGCAGGGGCGGGGCCAGCAGGGCATGCAGCATGGGATCGAAGGAATTTTCTCTTTTTTGCTCTGTTTTTGTTCACGTGTGTTGCGGTATGGACCCATTACCACTCGCTGATCATGGCCGGGAGGCACTGGTGCTGAGCCCTCCGGGAGCCCTGCCTATCGGGCTGGGCGCCCCGCCCCTTGGTCCCTGGGGTGCCCTGGAGCACAGCCTTCCTGTTGCTCCCACCTCTTAGGTTTTCTGCTTTGTCACCAGGAAGTGGGGTTTGCCTTGAGCCCTGGTGGGTGACAGTGAGTGGAAGGGCAGCTTGCCACCTGGCTGCAGTCACTTGTCTAGTGTGGGTGGCAGCAGTCACATCGCCAAGAAAGGGGCTGCAGAGGACAGTCCATCTTTAAAAACAATAACATCATTTTGTCCTGGTGAGAAACCTTCCTGCATGTCCCGCCGGAGTCGGTCCACCACCAGCTCGGGGGCAGTTTCTCTCCGGGGAGCACAGCACGAGGCACAGACAGGCGGTGTGGCTTGGGTGACCTGCTCACTGAGGCCATCCTCTCCCCTCCCGTGCTGGGCCCCTGCACACTTTCTGAGTGCATTCAAATTAGGGAGTGAATCAGAAAATGAAGTGAATTCTTCAACACTCTTGGTACCAGTGTGACGAACAAGGGTGCATGGTGTCTGCCAGAGTCCCCACAGCATGTGGCAGCAGCATGACTGAGGACAAAAAAGGAGTGAAAGGGGAGGCGGCAATTCAGCCAAGTCACACTCAAATCTTCCTGCGCCTCTTCAGTTCCAATGTCGCGGTGTGACAGGCAGGATGTCTGCCTCTTATGTCATCTATTTAGCATGGTGTTTTGTTGAATAAGAAGAGAGCCAGTGGTTTTTGTTTTTGAGAAAGCTATTGGTTAAGCTAAGCTGAAAATAAAAGTTTCATTCAGACTACAACAATGAGAAGATGCCTGGTTTTGTGGTACCTTTTTCTGTTGTTTTGTTTTGTTTTTTTGTGATTCCTCGCAAGGAAGGTGACCATGGTGGTCAGATGGGTGGAGTGTTACCTCTGCATCGGCGTAGGGAAGGAGCAGACAGGGATCGTTGCTTACATCGGTCATGATTGTCATCCAGAGAAGAGACACAAGAGCCGTCCTGCCCTCCCAGAGCCAGGTATCAGCCCCAGGAGGGTGTGGATGCTCAGCCCAAGAACGTGAGCTGTGGGGAGGCACATCTGGTTCACCTCTGTGCTGTGAAGGCCAGAAGCTGTAGATGTTCATGGTGAATGGACGAAGAAGCAAGAATGCTCTATCTTTGTATTTATGATTTTAAAACTTAAGGAGATTATAGCACCCATTGCCATCTGTTTGGACCTTTAATTCTAATGTCTCAAGACACCATCAATCCCGCCATGGGCAAAGGTCCCAGGAGCCTTCTCACTGGCCCGGGTAAGGTAAGCAGGCGGCTGACCGTGTTCTGGCAGGGGAAACCCGAGGAGAGGCCTGCCAAAGGGACTCTGGGAAAGCTGTTCTTGCTCTTGAACAGGGACACAGAGGGAAACAGGCCACCAACCACATCCACCGGATGCTGCTGTGTCTGCTGCATGGCCAGAGTGGCCACAAGTGATCCTGGAGCCAGCAGAGGATCCAGCACCACACACTCACGGTGCAGGGTGCACAGGGAGAGAACCAGCTGGGCTCTGTGCTGCTGGCTGGTGACCTGGTGCTGTCCTACTTCCGGGTTTCTTGGTATATGAGATAATAAGTCCCTCACTGCTGAGCCAACTTGAGATGGCCTTTTTTGCTACCTGTGGAAAAGCAGGGCAAATGTGGAAGTAAGTTCTTTGGATGAACTGAAAGGCTACTTCCTGGAGCTGCTGAAAGCAACCATGCCACACATGCACTGGGATTGAGGACGAAGACTTAGCCTCAGACATACCCGAGCCTGCACCCCAACATGTACTGGGGAATGGGCTGTGCCCAACCTCCTTATTTAGCAGTACCAGGGATCGAACTTGGGATCTTGTGCTTACGAGGTAGGCGCTTAGGCCTCTGAGCTATCTCCCCTGCCCTGGTCTCTTTCATCTAAGGTTTATTTCCTGCATCTCTAGACCAAGAGCACCAGGAGGGCTGGGGATACAGCTCAGCAGCACAGTGCCTGCCTGGCAAGCATAAGGTCCTGATTCCTAGAACAACAACAACAATAAAAGAAAGAAAGAAAGAGCGAGCGAAGAGCGCAGGGCTTCATCACAAGCCAGATGAGATAACTTGCGCCGAGCGTGCTGCCGAGGGCCCTAACAGCAGCAGTGTGTTGATGCACGCATTGAGTCCCAGTCACAGCGCATGGCAGTGGGCGTGTATGAAAGAACTGCTGCGTCCTGGTGGTCACGCCAGAGGACGCCACGGCAGTACCAGCAGCCAACCCCAGAGTGCGGGAAGCTACACAGCGAATGGCCCAGTGTCTTCCATAAATAAACTGCAGGCAAAAGAAAAGAGAGAGGAAGTTTTGAGACTTTCGGACGCACAGCAGACAGCCATGCAGAATATGTGGATCTTGGGCTGAACAAAGCAACTGATAAAGTATCACATTAACAGACACTTGGGGGAGGTACGAGCAGAGTGTTTGATTATATTAATGTCCTATGTAACGAGTTCTTGGATGTGATAATTGGGTTGTGATCATGTTTTTGGAGTCCTTGTCTTTTGGAACGGTATGCCACATACGTGTAAAAGAAATGATAGCTGGGACTTGGTTTTTAAAATACCCCAGTGTAGGAATGGGGTGGAATGGCAGGGTGGAGGGACGGGTGAGACAAGATGGGCCATCGGTTGATGACAGACAAAACAGCCTAGAGCGCTGCTCAGTCATCCTCTGCCTCTCTGCCCCCAGCACTGGGGACTGAACCTAGAGTCTTTGCACTGAGCTACATCCCCAGCCCTTTTTTAAATTTTTATTTCTTGAGGCAGGGTCTCACTAAAGATGCCCAGACCGGGCTAGAACCTTCGGTTCTCCTGACTCCGCCTCCCCCAGTGCTGAGATGACAGGAATGCACCACCCCCTCCACAGCAGCAGACCCCAGGCACTCCTCCTCCCATGAATACTTGTTCTCCTTTGGTCTTCTGTAGATTTGCTTGTTCTAGACACTTACCACTAGTGAATTATATGGTCCTCTGTGACTGGAATCTTCCATTTAGCACAATGTTCTCAGAGTTCTTGTTGTAGCATGTTTTAACACTTTATTTTCTTCTTCTTTGAGCCTGGTTCTGTAGCCCAGGCTGGCCTTAAAGTTCTGGACTCAAGGGAACCTCCTGCCTCAGCCATCCAAGGAACTAGGCCCAATTTACTTCAGCAATTTCTTTCTAAAATGGCCAAATAGCATTTTACTGTACAAATAAGCCACATTTTATTTATTTATTCATCAGGTGATGAAATTTCCCTACTTTCTACATTTTGGTCTTTACAAGTAATGCTGATATGCACATCCGTGTGCAAGGTTTTGGATAGACATGTCTTCATTTCTCTTAGGTATCTGCCTAGTTTTGAAATTATCAGAGCATATGGTCACATTAGGTTTAACATTTTGATGAACCAGCAATCTCTTGTAAAATATTTGTACCATTTTACATTCTGACCAACAATAGGGGGAGTGCCAGTCTCTCCACATCTTCACCGACACTTGTTAATGTGCATCTTTTTATTGCACTAACCTAGGGTGTGAAGTAGTACTGTCTTGTGATTTTGATATGCATTTCACTAATAGTTGATTATGCT